GAAATATTTCAGTTGGTGTGCAATGAATCTGAAATATATGAAAGTTTAATTTTTATCATTACATTATGGAAAATAATGACCTTTATCACAATATGCTAATTTTTTGAGAAGGACCTGTATACCCACTGTCCCTCCTCTGGACATGTCCAAACCATCTCTGTCTGGCCTCTAACTTTATTTCCCAGTTGTTCAACCTGTGCTGTACCTCTGACGATCTCATTCCTAGTCTTAATCCTTGTCACTCCTAAGGAGAACTTCAACATCTTTATTTCTGACACTTCCAGTTCTGTCTCCTGTCGTTTTGTCCATGTCTTTGTCTCCAGACCATACAACATAGCTGGTCTCACCACTGTCCTGTAAACTTTTCCTTTGACCTTTGCTTCCATCCTTTTGTTGCAAATCACTCCCGAAACTTTTCTCCATCTACTCCATCCTGCCTGGACTCTATTTTTCACTTCTTTACCACACTCCCCATTTTTCTGGACAGTGGACCCCAAGTACTTGAAGTCCTGCACCTTTGTGACCTCTGCTCCTTGTAGCCTCACTGTTCCACCGACCTCCCTCTCATTCACACTCATGTTCTCTGTCTTACTACGGCTGACGTTCATTCCTCTTCTTTCAAGTGCGTACTTCCATCTCTCCAAGTTCTCTTCCACCTGTTCCCTGTTCTGACCACAGATCACAATGTCATCTGCAAACATCATAGTCCACAAGTGACTGTTCTGTTTGAAGTAGCTCCACGTTGGTTCATGATGAGAACTGAGGATGGATCAGTCGTTGGGCAAAAATTGTTGGTGAATCCAGTGAAGCCCAGTCAGAGTCACAGACCTTCTCCACAACAACAGCAGACAGTAACACTAATCAAAGAGTAAACCTGTGTTGATAAGAGCCATGAGAGAAGGTCAAAAACCTGATAGACACTCAGTTTGTTCTGGTTATTAAAAATGCAAAAATCAATAAAAAGACCTTGTTTAAAAAAAACACCCTGATAGACTGAAGCTATAAATAAGTACAAATTTGGTGGATGTTTTCAATAAAAGTTTGTAATAAAGTGCATGATGGTACATTGTGCTATATAAGAAAAGATAGAACTTTATTGATCCCACAGGAAATTGTTGTGCCAGAGTTTCAGTACAAAGGAACATGCACAAGGAATCACACAAGTTATATAAAAAACAACAGGATATAAAAAAAAACAGCAATTAAGTTCTAAACAGGTCAGGTGCAGACGTCCCCATGTGAGCTATGTCACCTTTTTTTTTCTTCTTCTTTCGGCTGCTCTTCAGGGGTAGTCACAGAAAACTAAGTCGCAACAAGACACTGCAATTGTTTTTTCACCGGATGTCCTTCCAGACACAACCGCAGACCACCAGCTACCACAGCCCTCTGTGTGGAGCAGAGAGCTGCCATCTAGGACACCCGGGGGAGCAGATGGTGGGGGTTGAGGGCCTTGCTCAAGGGCCCAGAGTGGGGCAAATGAGGGTAGGGGCAGGTGTGGGTGCTTCACTTATCCCAACCACATTTTTTTTATGTTGTCAGTACCAGGAGTTGAACCGGCGATCTTCCGATCACAGGCCCACCTTTTCTAACCTCTGCGCCACCACTCCCAGTGAGTGTCACCAGTGATTTTACTAATTCAAGTAGTTTGCTGGAAGATGTTGGGGTTAGTCGTGTGTCGCCCACTGGGTGGCAGTGGTGTTTTGGAATGGTTTTTACATGAATACAACTGGTTGATAAAACAAAGAGGCCAAAAGTTAGTGGTTGCGTTTATGAAGTTTAATGCTACCAATGAGGTAACCCATTTATTCAGCACATTTTATACAGATCATGTATTTTACAAATCAGCATAAAGATGAAGCACACTGAAGAACTGTATCAAAATCAAGCAATAGAAAAACAAAAGTAAAGAAAAAATATATTAGTAAATAAAACTACAAACACAAGTCAGAATTTATACACAAAATCTGTTTCAGATGAAGTACAAATTCATCAATAACTTTTGTTTCCATGGTGAATTGGTGGAAGCTGGGTCAAATAACATCATTGATAAAATGTTCTTAACAAACTTCTATGATTTGAAAATATCAGCCAAGCTTCAATTTAATGTTTCATAATTTGTTTGAACTGCTTTGTTTTCTTGATGTTTGAGAGCAGTTTTTGCTCACATTGATCTTGGCTTCATGTCATTGCAACTACAGCAACATGCAACAATTGATGTTTTACTTTGGGGTAAAAAAAATACAGAATAGATCCAATTAGAGCTAATGGAGAACATGCTCTTTCTGACTAGCTAGTTCAGGGTTGCTCTGTCTTTGGTACCACTATGAAACAACTTTGGTTTCACTTGACGTGGAGGCCTAATGAAGGCAGGAGGAAAAGCTCGTCTCCGATGATTCGGCCTAATGAAAGGATGCTGATGTCTCCTTGAGAATACAGGATAGTCCGACCCAGAGGGATGATGTTGATCCATACTAGAAAATAAAGGTTTGACCAACACTGGGGACTTATGGTGAGCCTGCCTGGAAGATGGTTGATGGACCGGTCTAAAGGAACGATGGTATGGTGGTTTGGCAAAGTGATTTCGGGAATCTGGCACAGAGACTTGATGGTAGGGTCGCCCAGAGAACACAGGACGGGGTGGGGCAGGAAAGCGCAAGTGATCTAGTCCAGAAGAAGCACGACTGGGTGGTCTGTAGAAGTTAAGGTTGGGCAGCTTACTGAGAATGTGGGGTGATTTGGCGCGATGAGGTGCCCCTTGCTTAAGAGGGGAGGGTTGACCTGGATTAAATTGAGGAGATGGCTCATGATGTACAGGATACAAAATGTCTGAATAAAAGGGTGGTCTAGGGTGGATTGGCTGGGAAAGCTTTTGATTTGAGAAAGGATGATGCTCACTGTGAATGGGAGAATGTGGATGCCCAAGGTGATCAAGCTGTGTTAGTTCCGTTTTGGGAGGATGTGGTGGCCTTAGCTGATTTACTTGCATTAACTCAGAATTGTAAGGACCTGGTAAAGCAGGTTTAATGAGAGGCATCAGCTCATGGTTAGAAGAGTCTTGCACCCCATGGTAGTTGGGATGCATTTGCTCAGGATGTAAAGGATATGGTATCCTCAAAGGATTACGGTTCAGCCGGTCTACATAAGAAGGATTTGATGAACCAGGTTGCTTTAGCTCAAAATCAGGAAAACATGGTGGTCGAGAATAGATAGAACACAATGGCTCTAAATCAGAAGGAACTTGAGAATCGGGGTAAAAGACTGCCATTAGCTCAAAATGGGAAGGGGGGTGATGCTGAGGTAAACAATTGATATCAGTTTTGTCAGGAAAAATGCAGTTTTGGGAAATGGTACTAGAAATGACATGTGAAGTTTCTATAGGGGTGGTTGCAGACAGAGTGCTACTGGTGGGGTGAGAGATCGTACTGGAAGCCTCAGAGGTCGCAGGCGGAGTGTTGCTGGTGAAGACGGGGGTTATGCTGGAAGCCTCAGAGGTTGCAGACGGAGTGTTGCTGGTGGAGACGGGGGTTACGCTGGAAGCCTC